TGGTTTTGAGTGAGATGTCTTCTAATCAGCCTCTGCTGTACTTGGGGCAGCTATGGTTCAGGAATTACTGTGGGCTATTTTCTAACCGGGGAGTTGGTGGTTCAAATCCCAGCATCTCCAGTCTACATGTCAAAGTGTCCTTGGCAAGACACTAAACCCCAATTTGCCCCTGGTAACTATCCCATCAGTGTGTATGGGAAATAGTGTAAATCACTATGCATTCTTCATTGTATGGAAAAGTGCTACACAAGTTTAAAACCATTTACTTTCTGTTTAGTGCTAACTAAGGACTTGAAGAGACATGTTCACTTTTCACCAGCACTGCAATGTAGACTTGAAGCAAGAGACGTGTTCACTTTTCACCAGCACTGCAATGTTTTCCAAACCTTATCCAAAGTGATTTTGTTGCCTAAACCTACACAACAGACTCTATATACTGTATGTGAACTCTGGTCTCCAATGTCCAAGTCTTCAACTAAGAATAGCTTAGAAAGACCTGTATTAACATACAGTATGTACATAATCTCTAAGGTTGAAATAACGAATGAACATCTAACAGTGAACACACTCGTATTCATTCACACAAATGCAAATTCACTTGTACACAGACAACATATCACAATATAATGCATGTAAGACATATATACATTTGTATGGGGCACACTCACAGATACAAACAAAAAAATCCAACCTAACATCATGAACACTAACATCTACACTTCCTCAGTGTACCCTCAAACACACACTTAAACACTAACAAACCCCGGAATGTGGGAAATACATAGCGCCCAGTATTGTTTTCTTTCTACAGTGTGCACTTCCCCGTAGGCACATCCAAAGAAAATATTTGTGTCTGAAACACTGCGAAGGTTGGGGGAATAATTCATTTTTCCGCTTCATGATGAAAACAGATTTCTAATTCTCCTGACTTTACTTTTTTGCCTGTTTATTTATAACAAGCAAACAAATGTGCTGCAGTATTCACAAAAAAGTAAGAAGGGAAAAATTGGTTTTGTATGTGTGTGTGTGTTGTAATACCCTCTTGCATCTATTTTGTGTTTTATCCTCGGTGGAATTCAGTTCTGGTCACAGGCTGAATAAAGCACAAACAGATGGAGCATGTCTACGCATGACGTGCATGTAAGTGTGTGTGTGTGTGCGGACATTAGCGGTTCGGTTGAGTGGAAATTCCTAAAAATTAAGACAATGTCAGGACAAAGATGTACGCCCTGTGAATGAACCCTGTTTAGTTTGTGTCAGCATGAGAACCAGCTATAATCCATTGACCATCTGTTTATTTATTAATACAAAGAATTTATTAATTGGAAGCATTTCATGGGTCTTATTCATGTGTAAATATTTGTGTGTGTCCATGCCCTTGTTGATGTTTGTGTCTGCAGTTTCTTTATCACAAAACAAATATTACTTGAAATACATTACAAGCATAAAACTACCAAAGAGACACAGGGCGTGCATGTGAGACACTGAAGCAGGACATAATACACAGCTCAAAGCCTCTGGAAACAGTATGAAAATATCCATCTAAACAGGATCATTATGCAAACGCAACAATAAACTGATTCTGATGATAAACAGACTGTCACATCTCTATACCCGAGCCAGAGGGCAACACACTCTGCGACATCCATCTTCTTTAAGTAACGCCACTTACAATGGCACTGTTCATGGTGGGAGCAAACACACACACACACACACGCCAATGTACCATTATAAACACACACAAGTTAACACACACAGTATTAATATTCTCAGTTGTTTTCTCTCTGTCTTACAAACACAGCAAGACATACACATGCACTCTTTCAGAAAGCTCTCAGTATTGAATACAACTGGGTAATGCTAGGGGCGAGGCTGAAGTCATAATCATGAGAGTGTTTAACAGCAGTGTGACAAGCGAACGCTGTTTCAGTGTAAGTAAAGAACATGTAAATAAGAAGGCTGAATTATTCAGCAGTGAGGCCGCACCCGCTCAGCTGCAGTCATGCTGTTATAATCTCAGGAACTGAAGAGGTAGGAGAGAAAGAAGTTTTCCAGCAAGGTGCCAACAATTCAAACCCAAACTGAACCAAGCAGGTGTTGCTACAACATATGTAGTTGATTCATGTGATATGGTTGTAAATTCAGGATTTGGCAAAGGCCTGGAGATGCAAGTGGTGGATGTGTACTGGGGGGACATGGAGTGAACAGTCTAACTCAGGAATAAATCTTTTGAGTAAATCTAGTCCTCTTTTTATTGGTTTAATTGTCTTTTTATCTTTTGTTTTTCATTTTATGGTTTTACATTATGTGTGATTATATGCTTCTGTTGTGCTATGTAAAGCACTAAGACTTTCCTTGTGTATGAAAGGTGCATGCTCTATAAATAAAATGACACTGACAAATGCTGGTACAGGAGCAGGGTCTCCCAGTAACACACAGTATGCTAATGGGTTACATAGGCACATACAGTATATGTGGTCCATTTTTTTCAGGTACTTTCCGTATCAATTTTACAGTAGTTTTAAGGTAAAGAGCCATTTCTCCATACAGTTTATTTCACTCACAGTTAGGGTCTATTCGCCTTTTTTGGAGGGTTTGCCTGCAGCTCTTTCTGTGTGGTGACTTTCTAGTTACCAGCCAAAAGTATTTTAAAGATATATTATCCTGTGCCAGCATGTTCCCTGAGATTTTGCCCAGAAATAAACTGACAAGTTGCAGCATTTTCAATGTAAGATTGCAGGTTTTTTTGTTTTTGACCAGAACCATTTATTAATAAACTATTCAGATGTATAACTGCAGAACTGATGGCTTATTATAAAGTATGAAATGAATAAGCATTTATTATTGGACTACTAACAATATTGATGCATTAGAAAGATCAACACTTAACACTCAATACTAGCCAGTGGTAGAAAATAACAAAGTCCATTTATTCAAGAGCTGTACATAAGTACAATTTTGAGGTACTTGTGTTGAACTGGTAATTTTGTGCTATTTTATACTCCACTACATTTTGGAAGCAAATACTAGACTTTTTAATCCACTCCGAAATTAGTCACAAGTTAATTTGCAGATTCAAATTATTCATTTACTGCCATACATGGCAGTATGAACAGTTGTTGTAATTAGTACAAAATTTTCTGCATGAGTACTTTTATATTTTGTTCTTTATATTTAACGACATTTACTTCAGTAAGATTTTGAATGTGGGACTTATTGTAGCAGAGTATTTTTACACATGTGGTATTGCTTCTCTACCACAGGCATCACAGCTTATAAACCTTCAAGTGCTAGCCAAAAATTATTGTTGATTACTTTTCTGTAAATCACAGTTACAGCTCATCATTTTGGCTTTAAAGGACAAAAAAGAAAAGGAAGCCATTTGTTTGTTGTGTAGACTAGCTATCTGCTATAGCCTATAAATTCATGAACTCTCTTTAAGTGTGGCTGAAAATGATGAACACCTGGCCTGACTGAAATTTACCTGACATAAATCTAAGTTATGACAGGTTTCAGGATGAGGATGAGCACAGGTCTTCAGAGACTTGCATCCAACTGGGAAATGAGGGAAGCTGAAACTGTGGATAAGTATACAAGCCTGACTAAGCAAAGTGAAAATATACCTCCATCTTTTACTAGCCTCATTTGCCATTAGCCACAACCTACTGCTGTTTTCACACCTGGGGGTCTCCTGACAGGGCTGAGCTTATTGAGTGAACTTCCTTTAAGAAACATGTGGGAATCAAGCTTGGTAGCTTATCAACATCACACGCAGCCAGTAATTTTGCTCTGCCCTGTTACTATAATAAACATCTGCAAATCAAACTGCCTGAGAAATTGCATCTATATCTCAAGGGCACCAGTTTTAAAAAGAAAAAGGGGGGAAAGCCCGTCATCAGTTTTTAGTGGAATCAGTCATATCTGAACAACATCCAGTAGTTGAACCCTGTCTCTTTCTAATCGCATATGTATTTGTGATTAGTCAAAACATGCGGGACAGTAATCGCTCCTGGGAATCATATAAACATGCTTGACAAGTTTCGGCAGCTTAAATGTCAAGTGCTGCAGGGCTCAGTGCTGACCACCAGCGGTAACAACGCGAGAAGCAACGTGAACCAACAGAAACTATTGATCTCATGGTTGTTGGACATTGGAGTTTTCTTGTAAATTGCTTCCAGTTTTTGAGTGTGTCAAGTAATTAACAGAAAATCTTAGACAAGGTTTTTCCATCACAGGTGTGTAAAGCTGCAACCAACATTGATTTTCATTATCAATAGATCTGACTGTTTTTTAAGAACTGGTTGATGTTCAGTGAATAAATTATGAGTAAATAGTGAAAAATGACACCAAGTACGTCACAGAACTCCCGTGCCTCTTCTCTATGTTCTTCTCTTCCATGTTTGTCTTTGCCTTCCTCTTTCAATCAAATGTTTCCCCTACGTTGATATTTTTAAGAAAAATCTCAAGACCTATGTTTTCAATAACCTTTCGTTGTTTTTAGTGGTCTTAACATTTTAGTATTTTATATCTAGCCTGTTTTATTTTATTTTTTTTACAATATATACCTTACATTTTTTTGCAATCTGTCTTGGTTATTAACAATTTGTAGATCAAGATCAATTTGTATAATAAAAGATTGATTTTACAATTTGTTCCCTGTTTACTGTCTTGCCTTTTGGCCCATATTTTTGACTTTGGTCAACTCCAGTTAAATGTGCTATAGGCCTATAAAAAGAGTGAATTGAATTGAAAAGTGAATTAAAATTTGCTTAGACAATTAATCAGTCATCCAAATTGTTGCTAATTACTTTTTTAAATCGATCTTCTAAACAATCAATAAACTAATCACCGCAGCTCTAGGGTACAGGTTGGTATTGGCTACTAGGGGGATGGCGCGGTCGTTATGTGTCAACCAATAAATTAAAGCGACTCTGGGTTTTCCGAGGGAGAGAGAGCGATAGGGAGAGAGAGGTTGAAACGCGTTGAAAAGGTAGGCTTCGCGCTGCATCCTGGGTACATTACTCTATGGTGATGCAGTGAGATTCTGTTGTGTAAAGTGGAAACCAGAGTAAAGTAAACGGGGATCTTCGGAGACGGGGGGCTAAAGCGAGTTACAAACGCGTCTTTCACGGTGTTGAACAGTCTCGGTAAACGATGAGCCAACTTCGGTCGTCTCGAAGCGGAATGAACTACACTTGAGCGCCCGAAAACGGGTCTTTCTTGGCACGGGGGAAAGCGAGAATGAAGAAGCCGAGCGCGCTGCTCCCTGTTGTCGGCTTGACTGGGAAATGGTAGCGTACTGCGGGAACCGCACTGGGAAGGAACATGGTCGAGAGGAGCAGCAAATTCTTGTTGATCGTTGTCGGATCCGTGTGTTTCATGCTGATTCTCTATCAGTACGTGGCCCCCGGGGTGATCACTTTCGGCTCCCCGCACGGTTATTTTACGGAGGAAGACGAGGGGGACATCTTCCCCACTCCGGACCCCCACTACATTAAGAAATACTACTTCCCCGTCAGGGATCTAGAAAGAACGATCGATTTCCAAATCAAAGGGGAGGACGTGATCGTGTTTTTGCACATCCAGAAGACCGGGGGTACTACCTTCGGCAGGCACCTGGTCCAGAATGTCCGTCTAGAAGTCCCTTGCGACTGCAGACCGGGCCAGAAGAAGTGTACCTGCTACCGGCCGAACCGCAAAGAGACCTGGCTCTTCTCACGCTTCTCCACCGGCTGGAGCTGCGGCTTGCACGCCGACTGGACCGAGCTCACCAACTGTGTGCCGGGGGTCCTGAACAAGAAGGAGAACAAGCAGAAAAATCAAAGGTAAAACTGAAAAACCTTTGGTTTATTGGCTGTAGATTACGGGGAAGCCCAAGTGCGAGATTTGGGTCATAAACTCTATTCAAAATTTGGAAATCTTTTGTTACAGAATTATGTCACTGAAACTAGATTACAAATATTTAAGCGATGCCACATTTTGCTGAAGGTCACTTTAAACTCACAGATCTCTAAGCTCTTTGATCAAACTGATGTATAAATACTAAATCTACTCTTGCCAGTCCTACTTCTGGCACATCTTTGTCAAGACTTATAAAGCAGACTTGAACACAGGCTGTTTCCTCTGGAGACAGAATTATAATAGACCTAATTGTAAACTTTAAGACATTTTTCACACAAAATGTCAAAACTTTACATGAGTATGCAGCTATTTTTGTCTGCCACAGAGATGCAGGGGTGATACCAAATGAGATCAAACCTAATAGAAGATAATAATAGTATTATAACCAGGAGTGACACATTCAGCTTCCCCATTATAGTAATGGGTAATGTCACATTGGTCTGTCTGTCACCCTAAATCAGAGGTCTTTCACTGGAAGGGAAGTTATGATGGCATAGTTTAAAATAGACAAAGAACTTAAAGGTTTGTGAGCCTCCTCCTGAGACACTCGCTTGATAAACCACGTTGACTTGACATTTCAACGCTGCGCTGTCACAACTGCCACAGGAGCTCAACAGTGCCTCTGACAATTGTTGGTAGGTGCTGATATCAGGGTGCCCTCCCACTGAATCGCACTGAGATTGGGCTGAATGTATTTCAGACAGGGGAGTGTAATACATCCAGGCAGCGTTTCCACTCTCACATTGACTGTGAACTATCCACACACACACTACACATTCTTATTAAGTTATAACCCATTTATTCTCCGCACCTTTCTGTTGATGTTGCCAACATATTACATCCCTCTCCCAGACATATTGACAGCTGTATCAACTTCCATTTCACTGCACCCTTGTGGTTAAAGGTTACGCTTGTTGAATGGGTTATGTATCTTTGTATTGCCTAAGCTTGTTCAATATTTCATTTGGGCTATGGATGATCAATTTGACAAAGGGTGGGGGGTGGAGTTGGGGCGGTAGAAATATTTGGGAATTAACACGAAGTGCTTTTTGCCTCTGCCTTTCTGTCTGGCAGCTAGGCCGTCTGCTCTGCTTCTCATGGCTGCTCAAACTGGGGATCGGAGCTGCAGGCTGGCCAGGGCTTGGCTGAGCCGGTAGGGGGGAGAGAGCAACCCTGCGGGGGTTTGGCTCCACTCTAATCTGTGTGATTATTACCACTGGGACACACACACACACACATGCATTAGCACTGGTATTTGCTGCTGGCGTCAGTCCTCACTCCTGTGGTTTCACCCGGTCAGAGGTGATAACACGTCCGGCCATTCTGCATGGCGAGCTGAGATATCACAGTGGATGCAGGATAAACAGCCTTTCATCGCTTTGTGAGAACGGTTTAAAAGCATAAATTTGTGCCAGCTTGTGTGTTTATGTGTGTATGAGGGTGCACCTGGAAAAGGCCACAGAAACGGAAAGAGACCTGAAGGCAGAGTAGGTGAGAGGTCTGGGTATGTATGTATGGGTGTGAGCGTGCCAGAGAGGATTTCTTACCTCTGGTATAATCGACTCTCCTATCAGTGCTGACAGGACCTACAAGGGACTATAAGCTTAATAGCACCCACAAGAAAAACAGTGCTGCTCCACATTACGCACAGCTCTGCAGGGAAGAGGAGTGAATCGCTGCAACAATGAGCTCTAAAGAGAAACTAAAAGTACACGCTCTTCGTTTCTCATCCTGGAGTAACAGTGTGGTTAAGAGGCCAGAGAAAGTGTGAGAAAGATCATCTGTGTTTACAGACTGGTGGTGAGGGATTTCTTGGTGCAGTGTTGTAGCTTTCAGATCAGCTGTGCGTATTGTCGGTGTGGTGGAGGTAAACAATCTGTGGCCCCGGACAGTGATGTGACTGTTTCCTGACTGACATATCACATACATGCTCTCTTAATGGAGGAAGCAGTTTGGAGTTGCGTCATTAACTTTGAGAAACTGAAAAGAGAAAAAGCCTATCTAGAAATCGTCGACTAGGCAGCGGCAGCAGTCGTTGTTGTGTTGAGATCCAGCAGCTGTGTTCTCATCCAGCTGTCAAGTGGATTTTCCACGAATGTTTCAAATGCTGCAAAATAAAATGTGTATTAGGACCATTTCCATCTGCTGCAAACCGCCCCACTGCATGCTGGAGGTCACGGTCTGATGAGGGGGTTAGGTGTTAGAGTTAAAAATAAAAAAAACAACAACATAGACTTCAGCAGGGAAAAGTGGGAGGTCATGAAAAACTGAATATACTCAAGAACCGATCAGGACTGGACAAGTTCACATTCACTGTTTTATGCTGTAACTTGATGAAAACAAAGAAATACGCTTATGTTTAGGACTGTAAATAATGATTATTTTTTATTCTTGATTATCCTTACCATTACATACCAGAAAAAATGCCCGTTGCAAGTTTCTAGAGCCCAAGCTCACATTTTTAGAAGGAATGCTTTGTTTGATCAACAGTCCAGATCCCAAAGATATCAATTTATTATGGTAAATCAGCAGATATTCACATTTGAGCACCTAGACCTGGTGAAAAACAGTTTGATAACTGACTAATTCATATGTACTGATCAATCATTTGCTCAACTTATTATTTCAGCTCTAATTATAATGTAAAACACAGTCTGTGTGAGCCCACCAGTTGCCTTATAAGTAAAAGAGAGAGCAGCCGTTCTGACATTTGAAAACCATTTCCAAATGTCTAAAGCCAATATTGAACTCCTGTGTACTGGTACTGTAACATTTTCCTAGCCCTTTTCTGTGGCTGTATTATTTATTGATTGTACAGATGGGTCTGTATCGCTGTATTGCACAGTTTCTTCAAAACATTTCTACTTCACAAGCATAAAAACATTTTGAGGAAATTGGACTGAATAGGGTGGTTTTTCAATTTCAGTATATCATAAATTCTGGGAGAAAAACTACTGCGATGGCTGAGGCTCAGTTTGGTCTGGTGACAGATGTGTCGGCTTTAGAGGAAGGCGCATTAAGCAGGAGCGAGCAGCAGCAGCGAGATGAATGGCGGCTAATAGGAGAGACAGGTCTGTCTTTGAACGGTGATGAGATGAGATCGAGATGAACAGTGGCATTGTGGGAGAAAAGAAATCACACACTCAGCAGAGCGCCACTCAGAGAGGATTTGTCATTTCCCACCTCTTATTTCACTTTTCATGTTCATCACTTCACACACACACATTGAGGCCACACACACTACTGAAACAAGCAGACCCTAATACACGGCCTCAGATATGGAGCTTCTAATTGGTTAAGGAGGTTCCTATCACTTTACTCAAATTAGAGGCACACTTTCAGATGGGGGATACCATCTGTCCTGTGAATGTGTGCATGCATCTCAAAACTGTGTGCATGTCTGTTTTTAATCCTAGTGTGTCATAAAGTGTCTCAGTAAGCGAAGTGATGGGGCTAATTTTACTGCTTCTATCTCAGTCCGTTCTGAAATCCCTGTTTTTTCTCTCTCACGCCTCCTGTTCATCCTCTCCGCTTGCCTTTGAAACACTCCCTCCCTCTCCTTCCATCCTTTCCTCCTTCCTTCCCTCCATGATGGTGTCACTCTCTAATCAAACAGCAGGCTTGCTTTCCGCTTGGTGGCTTTATGGCCGGGGGCTCTCTCTGTATCGCTCTCCTTCACTTTCTCCTCTCTTCTCTCCATTTCTCCCCCTCGTCTTTCTTTCTCTCCTTTGCCATCTTTCTCTCCCTTCTCCCTCCGAGCGTGACTACCGTATTAGAGGAAATGTCTTTTCATGGAAGATTTGCTGCAATTTCCAAAATGGCTGCTTTGCCTAATGGACAACTGCCTTGGTTCTAATGCATGATTACATGTATGAGTGTGATGGAAAGAGCTGTCAGGGAATGACTGAAAAGATAAAAGATGGAGGAGTGAAAACATTTACTTTCATTGCTGGGGAGGGGGCTAGTCAATTAGCACGGTTGTCAAGCATTGGGAATTACTCTTCTTTCAATAGGTCTGTTTCAGATTTGCAGCACAAATTACTGCACTCTAGATGGCTCTGTGTTTAAATGTGAGTGTGGTGTGTGAGCGTGGATGCGTGTGCATGTGGTAACCCAGCATGGTGCCATCAGACAGCCAGCCAGCCGGCACAGCCCAGAATCCAGATGAACTCCAGGAATCTGCAGAGGCTGCCTTGGCTGATTGGCATGTTGTACTAATGTGTGTGCATGTGTGAGTGTGTGTCTGTCTGTATGAGAGCATGCACATGCTCATGTGTAGCCAGGCAGGTCGGTGTTAATCCAATCAGATTAGCAAGGTTTATGTGCTGGCGACCAGGTTCTCCAAAGCCGGTTACGTTCGTTCATCCTGCGATGGCGACTGCTCCGTGTCCCAGCATTCCCAAAAAACATTCCCACATTTGTCTAGCCAGTTATTCTCTGACTGTTTACAGTAAGTTGCAGGATGCTTTCCTAAATGGATATGCATTCACTTAATAGATTAATTGGACTTCTCACTGGACACACACAAAATTAGTTAATGAGAGTTTTTAGAATCTGTTAATCATTTCAGCAAATTACTAGACAGATGCTGGTAACACTTAGAGATGCACCGATTGCAACTTTCACAGACATTTTTGTAACTTTAATGAAATTGTAATAAAAATTGTATTAAAGATTTACATTTCTGTCTTTCCCTTCCTTTTTTATTTATTTTTTTTTACCGATCTCTAACAAACCTTTAAACACTAACAGTCTCCCAACCTGTTTTGATTGATGGCCCTTTGAAAACAAAAGCTACATCGAAGTATGACCCCATGTCCCAGGCTGCACATGAGTGCAAGTTGTTACCTGTTTAACCAATATGTAATTCTTTCTTCTCATAACATTTTATAAGAATACCTTTTTTCGGGATACTTGAATTAGT